AATTTGTAAAATTCTTAAATCTTTAGTTTTACTAATTTGTTTACTAATTTTTTAATATAATTTTATTAAATTTTACCTTTTACTATTTAGATAATTTAAATAACTTGCTAAACCTTTAAATTTTATTTAATAATCTTAACTATATATGTTTTACAAATTTTTTAATAATAAAAAAAGTAAAAAATATCAAATTTTAACTTTTATATAAAATAATTTTAAATTTTTTGATATTAAATTAATATAAAAATTATTAATTAATATAATATATATATTTTTTAATTTTATTTAAAAATATTATAATTTCATTTTTTTAATTTAATTAAAATAATTTTAACACTTAAATTTTATTAAGGCAATTTCTAATTGTATATAAAGTATTCGAATATAATATAAAACATAAGAAGTATAATAAATAATATTTTTAGCATAAAAATTTTCTAAGTTTTCAGATTAATTACTAAACAAAACATATTAAAGTATGATACTATATAATAAATAGTAATCTAATCTGTATATTATTATTAAACTAATCTTAAACTAAACATAACTCTGCATAATAAGTTTATATCATATAATCTATATTCATACACTTTGTATTTTTAAGAATATTCTTTTATTAATTGTTAAACTTAAAATTAAAATACTAAATTATACAAAATTTATATTATTAATTAAATAATAAATTATTTTTTTTTTATATTTTTATTTATCATTATAAAAATATTTTAAATAATAATAATATTTAAATATTATATTAATACAAAATATCATAAATTTAAAATTTTTTAATAAGTTTTTTAAATTTATATATTTTCATCTTTAATAATCATTATTTAATATTTATTATTTTATTCAAAAGAATATATACAAAAGTTTTTACTTTTTTTTTTTTTTTATTTAATTTTATTAGTTTAAATTTTTAAACTTCTACAAATTTTATATAGTAATTAAAAATTGTATATTAAAACAATTTATGTAAATTAAAAATATAAATATTTTTATTTCATTACAAACTTATAAAAGATATTTTAAAAGAATTATAATGAAAAAAATTTTTTAATTAAAATTGATAAAGTAACATTTTAAACTATTTAAAAATACAAATGCATAAAAATAAAAATGAAGTTTATATAGAAAGGATTACATTGACATTTTGAAACAAATATTTTTTTTTATTTCAATTGTATCATTCCTTTGAAATTTGATATACTTCATAATCTTGTATAAAAAATTCACCATCAGTATCTCTTAACCTTTTCTCATAATAAGAACCATATTTATAAGATAACCTTAGTTCTGGTTCTACAATAAGATCATGACCAAACGAGGGGCCATAATAAGGATTATTATATAAAGCACAAGACATATTCTTTACATAACTTACAATTGAATCTTTTAAATGATTCCTATCCTTAAATGAGAATATAAAGCTATCCTTATTATAACCCCATCCACTAGTAGAACTCCATGTTGAAGGATTATACCCACCGATGATTTCTTCGGTTCCCTTTACCTTAAAAATTGTAACGGTATATTGGATATTATCACATAATTCATGAAATTTATTGGAAGTGAATCCATTTTCGCTTCCCCTAAATAAGAGCTTAAATTTATATGGTAAATATAATTCTCTCGTGTAAGCAAACTTGCTTTTAAGATCTATTCTATCAACCCATCTTGAAATCAATGAAACGATATTTACGTTAATGAGTTCCGAATCGATAATTCCATCAATATTTCTATTCCTAGGTAGTGTAAAATATCAATCGTTGGTTCGCTATTGGAATCGAAATAAGATTTCATTAATTCATCAAAAAGCTGAGTTTTTAAAAGGTTCTTATATGGAATAACCTTTTGAAAGAATTCGTCAGAAGTGAAACTAAAAAATCTAATTAAAGGTAAACAATGTTGTAACGTCTTTTCCATTATTTTGAAATCATCAGATGACCAAGTTGAAGGATCGGAAATAAGCGTAGGATTTTTTTCAAGTCCCCATTTTAATACATGATCCCAAACTTCAACTTCTCTCATTTGCAATTCATCACTTTCGATAAGTGAGATTAATGATCCTTCAGAAAGCGAAGCAAAGTTTAATGATTGAAATATTTTTTTAGGTGATTTAATCATGAAATTCGTACAAAATTCTTGAAATTCCTTCAAGTTCTTGGAATAATCGGATTGAAATATTATTTGATAAGTGAGATCAAAATTTTGCTTGATCCATCCGGCTTTATTATCCATTAAATAATTTTGTACATATTCTACTAATTCTTGAAGGAGAAGCTCATCAGCAGCAACCAGTACTTTTAAAGTATCTTCAGTATCTTGTTCATTTAATGAAATAATTCCACCATAAATGTACCTGAATTATAAGTTTCTTTTTTTTTTTAGGATTGAGATAAATTTCAAGAAAAATTCATATGGTTTTGCAAACTTACTTTAAAATAATTTGAAAGGTTTCTGGTGCAATATTTGGTAAATTGATGAGTCAAACCACCATCATTATCCTTTTCATTGAAAGCCAAAATCTGTCGTAAAAATGAAGAACGATAACGTAATATAATCATGTGCGCGCGGAATATTTTCACGTTCGGATCTTTACCAACTGTTATGTTTATGTCATAATATTCATCATCTCCCAAAATTTCAATATAATTTTGGCTTAATTTATGAAAAAATTGTTCAGACATTACTTAAGGAATTGAGAATAAAAAAATAAAAAAAAGGACCAAAAACAAACTTTTTTTTAGTGACAAAGTTGTGTTTTTGTTGTTCAAAAATAATCATTTTTTTTCTGGGTATATATATAATTGGCAAGGATTTTGTTGATTGCATTTATTTGCATTTTGTGCACCTTTAATTCATTTACACAGTAAATTAAAGAATTCGATTTATATTATTTGATTAAAAATTCTGATCCAGATTTATCGTATTTGATGGACAAGGAATGTATATATTCTGTCTTTTGATAATGATTATTAATTAAACCTTTTTTTTTTAAAAAAAAAAAAAAAAAAAGTGAGAGAGAGATAAAAATAACTCTGGAATTCTCTCTTATTTTTTGACTTGGAAGAAATGTCGGGATGACATTATGAATTGACTTACCGATATGCTTTATATATTTATTGGAGTTCTTTCTCGTGCAAATATATACATTCCTTTATCGACGGTGTTATGAAAGTTAATAAAATCATTTGTGGATACTTAGTACATCATCTCGTTACACCATGATAACTTCCTGATACAAGCTTTGTAAATTTTATCAATAACTTTCACTACAACTTTGTCTATAAGACTTAATGACTATATACAAGAATCTATCACGTATATCGTGATTACTTAACTTACCATTTTACATTCACAAGTTCTTTAGTTGAATAAGCCTATCGGGGAGATTAAATATTTTATCGAAGTTATACTACATAACTACTATAGCTTTTTACTACATATAACTTAACTGAATCTTTCAATATTATATTGTTATAAAATGCTTTCGAAATTCTAACGATAGAATTTAATTTATATCATGAAAAATTTACCCTTATAAAGATATAAATATATTACATAATTTCTTGATTTTGGGGAACTTTTATTTTGGTTGGAATGTAAGGTCATTAAAAGCAAATCCTTGAATTGATTTTCTGAAAGTTATAAAAAACATGCTCAACTACAAAAATTATATTAACCTGCTCGATTATATATTAACATTAGTAATTTTTTAATAGTAGTTGTGATATTTATTTTCATTATAAAGTTGCGTATACTTTCCTGTCCTAAGTTAATCCTATTATGCAAGTTAAATAACTTTAAAGTATAATAATTATACTTACTATTGGGTGATTCAATCCACTTTATTACGTCCTTGTTGATGAGAGAATCCAGTGATCCGTACAAATCATACAATCTCCTCAATTCCTCCTCATTGGGAACTTCATAATTTACTTAACTAAAGTTCATAATTTATAATCAACTTCCTTTCTTGCTTTATCCTTCTATAAATTTTTTAAAAAAAGAATGTAAATTCGTTGAAGGAATGTTTGTGGCAAGAACGATGGTAGGAATTCCCAAAGGAATGGACCTTTTCATTATTTCAGAAAAAGGTACATACATAACCGCAGGATCTGAACCGAAAAATTTTAAATTTTTTCAAGAAAAATAACTTTGTAGTTTTACTTATTTCTATCTAAAAACCTTATTCTAATTTACTCTTATCCATTTACGGTGTTAGATATGATACAATGCAAGTTTTTACTGTTATAAACAAGTTCGTGATAAAAACTTGGAATATAGAGAACTTTATCATATTATCTATCTATATCATGCGCTATAGTTTATTTCAACTCGGAAATGAATATATGGGATGATTTCTAGTATCCGAAAAATGTTTGACACTTAATGCATCAAAAAAATTCCTCGGAACCTGATTTTCCTAGCAATCAATCCATATTATTACATAAGTTTTTTTTTAAACAATTCAAATTTTTACTACAGGATAAGAATATTATTTATCTACGAAAACAGTTACTATCTGTATTTCATGAAACGTGGCGCAGGAAAATCTTTGTCAATCAACGTCCTGATTGGTTCAAAGTCGCAGAACTTTTTTTTTAATAAAAACGGGTCAAAGAGTATGTTTCTTGTTAGATGGTGCCATTATTCATACGTTTTGGTGATTGGAAAGCTTTCATTTCATTCATCTTCATTGAGCTACGCCTGAAAAGAAACAAAATAACGTTTGATGTTGAATATGGGTGCGGTAAAGAGATTATCAAACATGAGTAAGCTAGCTATCATGTACTGGAACATAGTTGTAAATGGTTTTTAAAATAATTTTTATCATATTCAAATGAGATGATAATAATTCAAAAAGAAATCTAATGACTTCATATATTTAATTAAATATCAATCAAAATCTTTATTAATTAAATAACAATCTTATAAACTTCAAAGAAAACAACTTAAAGATTAAATAATAGTTTATATGTCCAATTATTGTATGTTCATAACTTGGCCTTCATTCCGACCGATATATCTTTTACTAATTCACCTAAGGTAATTAATAAAAAAGAAAATTAATACCTTGAAGAAATCATAATAAAGTACAAATATCAATAGATTTAAAATGTCACCTTGATTATCGGTTTCGTTATACTTTGCCCAATCGTTCGCAATTGGTGCGTAAAGTACACGTGGGTCAACTCCCAAAGCATCAACAAGTTGCATGCTATAGGGAGATACTTCCTTAATTATCTCTCGAAGTAATGGTTGTACAGTCGCAGCAGTCGGTATTGAAATTAGGTTATTTGTCATATACCACGCAAGATTTGCATCAATTTGAGTAAGAGCATATATATGGGCAACGGTAGTAAGTATTTTTCTAATCAAATAAAAAAAATTTTTATTTAGTGAAAAAAGAATTTATTATAAAGGAGTTAACATCACGTTCCAGCGATTGATTATACTTACGATACATTGCCTGATAATTTTTGAATAGAAGCAATTACTTGTTCAAGAACAATCCTATCCCCATGTGCTTTAGCCAAGGCTTGAATGGTATCAGATTCTTGCTTCATCCAAGCTTCAAAGATTGAAACGCCTGAAGAAGTTTTCTTGCTCATATTCGATCTCAACTAGAATGAACTTTGTTTATTAGACCACGAAATCATTCGCAAGTAAAAAACAACTCATATCATTTTATTTTAACAATTACCTCATTAACCAAAAATTGTTCTCTAAGTCTAAATAAACCAAGTTGATTATCTAAATTAGTAATATCCCATGACAGAGCATTACTTGCACCTGGCACAACAGGTAACTTCGCAGAACCAGATTGTAGATCCGCGAGCAATTCTTTGGAAACTAATAAGAAAATAATCGTTAATTATCTGAATATTTAGATATGCATAACGGTATAAATACCTTTTTGCATAAGAACGCTGTTATCACCCTCTAATGTTAAAATAAATTTTATAAATTATTTTTTTGTTTCAATTCAAAGTCGAAAAAAGAAAAAAAAAAAAAGATCGAACCAGCCGAGCAACCCGCGTGGGAAAATCCAATAAAGCTTCCAAACCTATTGATGCTCAAATATCCTTGTCCACCACAACGTTCCCGACACACGGAAGCAACGCGTTCAAAGTTCCAAGTTATCAAAGGCTTTATAACACAGCATAACCTTACAATTTCAGATGCATCTTTATCCGTCTGATAATTAATAAATCATTAGAAAATTTTAGAAAGTCGTTTAATTTTCATTAATGGATCTGGATATCATAAACACCTGTTCTGTCCACCTGACTTTACAATAATTCAAGCCAATATTTAATGCGATAGTGGTTGCTAATAATGGTAGCAATGCGCGTTGTTGAAGTTGATAAGCAAGGATTGGTGTATCACTATCGTTGAAATAAAAAATTTAATTTAAAAAATTTTGTGATAATATTGAAATAACCCTACATACCTCTTTCCATTTGGTCCAACAGCTAAACGAGAACTTGCATATCGGAATGCAATAGATAAGCAAGCTATATTCAATGCAGTAAATTGAGAAAATATATCCAATAGAATGCAACTTAATAGGATTAAAATTCTACAAACATTTAGTTCCTCCCAAATTCAGAGCCGCAATAGCCAATCTACCGGAAAGAAGCTGATCCGCAACTTTCAAAAATCGTCTTAAATAGCAAATTAATTAATTTCGAACAATACGTATTATATATATGGGTATGTAAATCATACATTACTATATTACGTACCCGCGACGGTTATTGACGACACTTGAATATTTATTATTTTCATCAATGTCAGAATATTTGTTTAAAAGATTTTGTACCGGGATTCGTACCTATGTTTATAATGACGTGACGTTGATGCTTTAGTTGAACATCCGAAAATTATAATGCGACGTAAGTCAACTTACATTTTTGAACCACAATTTACCTAAATTCGTTATAATTAGTAATTAATTGATAAAAAAATAAAATAAAAACAAACGTTACATCACATACCATTGTCTACACCGTTACATTCAAATTTTACTCCCATATCTTCAATGATGACGCCTTCTGAAGGTTTCATACTATAGATAAATAATAAGATTAATCGGAATTATAGAAATACCAAAGTAAACCTTTGCTAAACATGATACTTTACTTTTCCTCGCGAATTCTGACAAGAAAAGCGTGTATTCCCTCATTCTGTCCACGAATTATAGTTTGAGCAAAAACGACAGCCCATTTTGCATGAATAGCAGACTAATTCAAGAAATAATTCAATAGCAGTGATATTAAATATAAGCAGGTAATTCTCAGATATAAGTTTCGAAAACCTACATTTGTGATCCAATACTTTTGAGCCAACGTTGTCGGCGTATTGATGATAAATTCTCTGTTGTCATCATCATATATAGCGGTAGTTTCCATTTCCACCGCATTGTTACCATAGCCTAGCTCAGTTAAAGCGAAGCATCCAACGTTGTGAAGATTGTCCGCGCCAGAAAGTATATGCCTATGACGTTCAGTTCCAAGTTTAATAACAGTTCCACCAAAAAGGTTCCATTGAACTGTCATCTACATCATAAATTGTCAATGATGATCATTTAAGGACACAACTTTATTAAATTAATTATAAATACCTTTGTACCCATGGAACCATCAACCATACCAGCTACCTCGTGTGCTAATTTAAAAGAAATTTTGTTAAAATTAGACAAAAATTTGCTTTAGTTGACAACTTTTATTAATTTACTTTTAAGGAGAAACTAAATACCAGCAAAAATATTAAGCGGATTTTTTTCAAAATCAAATACCGAGATGAAACCTTTATCGGCAAGTTTTTTTAAGCGTTGCAATGTAATCTCTCGTTCAAACTCAAGTGGCATGTTGTAACGCGGAATGTAAATGGGATCATCAGCAATAAAATCAAGCATTGCCTTTCGGTTTGCATGGTTATCATAAAGTAAATGGTGTTGTAGTGTTGCGAAATCTCGAGACGACGTTGATTGTCCCATTTTAATTTATTAAAAAAACTATATTTCGTGAGAAAGTAAACTTAATAGAAAAATGTGGGGTAGATGTTGAATTAACTTTTATGTTACATTTCTGCATGTTCCCAAATTGTACATAATTAATCGATTGCCTTTCTGTATTTTAGAACAACAAATGGTATTATATGTAAAGTTCACGCTATATGGCAAATAATAAATAAGATTATCGTTTGCCATTAATCTCTAATTCAGATGATAAGATAATCAATAAGTTAACACTAATACTGCTTGATCGACCACAAAGTAATTTTGAAATTCAGATGATTGCTCTACTTATTAAAATAATATTGTCGATGCCGTTAATTTCCTGCTAATTTTCCGCGGATTCTTCTGCGTCAAAGCTTTGTCTGTGACGTATTACGGATCAACATGCTGCGCCGCGCATTACGAAAAACTAAAATAAATTGAGTTTACGGATCAACATTTCATCATAGTTCGAAAAGGCTTTTTTTTAATCCTTAAAAATAAAAACGAAAACGTCTTGATCATTATGCCTGAAGAGAGTATAAGCGAAACTCCCAAGGAGATTTCGGAAGAGGTAGAGACTGTGGATGAAGAAGTTATTGAGGATTTATTTGGAAAAGAGCATATCAACTTAGTATTTATCGGACATGTAGGTTAGTATTATGATTTAATTCCGTTTTTGACTCTTTGATAGTTGTATCCGGGGGAAAAGACGAATGATTGGCTTAATATATAATCTCAAATAGTATGAAGGGATCGGGATTTTTGTTTTGTATTGTTTCAATTAATGAGAGTTTCGATTATTATTTCAATTTGCAATAAGATGCCGGTAAATCCACTATGGGTGGTAATATCCTGTAAGTATCATTGATTGGGACTCGAGAATTTAATTCTGTAAATACTAATTTACATTTTATATGAATAAGGTTTTTGACGGGAATGGTTGATCAGAGAACTATGGATAAATACGAAAAGGAAGCCAAAGAACAAAGTCGAGAGTCGTGGTATTTATCATGGGCGCTTGATACAAATAAGGAAGAACGTGCAAAGGTATTTTATTTATTTGTATTTAATATATTTATCCTATTTCGATTAAATTTTTATTTTTACAGGGAAAAACAGTAGAATGTGGGCGTGCTTATTTTGAAACTGATAAGCGTCGATACACTATTTTAGATGCACCAGGTCATAAAAATTATGTACCTAGTATGATTGGCGGTGCCTCTCAAGCAGACGTTGGAATATTAGTACGGCATTTATTTTTTATATTAGTGATACAGATTGGAAAATATTCTTATACAAAATACAATATTTTAATTGAAATTGTTTAGGTTATATCTGCTAGGAAAGGTGAATTTGAAACGGGATTCGAGAGAGGTGGTCAAACACGTGAACATGCCGTTTTAGCCAAAACTTCAGGTGTCAACAAATTGGTGGTCGCAATCAATAAAATGGATGATGTAACAGTAAATTGGTCAAAGGAAAGGTAGTTCATTTCCACGAGTTTTTTTTTTTTTTTTTCCTTCCAAGATCTATCTGTATTAAAGAAACTGAATTTAACCTTTCGTTTATTTAGGTATGATGAGTGTGTTAATAAATTAACACCATTTTTAAAAGGAACCGGTTATAATCCTAATTCAGGTAATAATAATGTAAAGAATAGTTTCCAAAAGGATTTTTTTTTTTTTTTTTGCACCTCATAAGTTATTCGGTACTTAAGTCTATTGCATTTAGATGTTCAATTTATACCACTCTCTGGCTTTACGGGTTACAATTTGAAAGATCGTGTTCCAAAGGATGCATGCAGTTGGTACAAGTAAGATATCATCGATCGTTTTATTTTATTATTTTTTATCAACTTTTTATTTAATATCTAATTCAAAATTTATTATGTTAAAAAGTGGTCCATCGTTATTGGAATATTTAGATGATATGCAAGCATTAGATAGAAAAATTAACGCTCCATTGATGGTACCCATTATAGAAAAGTATAAAGTAAGTTCTTTTAATATCATTTAACACCCATGGATAATGAGCTGAGCTGAACTTTTTACATCTGTTTCACAGGATATGGGTACTATTGTGGTAGGAAAAGTAGAATCTGGTAAAGTCAAGAAAGGTCAAAATGTGGTGATTATGCCAAACAAGGTATCTTTTTTTCCATGTCTATTCTTTTGGTATTTTCAAAGTATTTCACATATTAATTATAACCATCAAATTCATTGATAGCATGTTGTTGAAGTAGCTGCGATTTACAACGAGCTTGAAGATGAAGTAACGTCTGGCAGTTGCGGAGATAACGTTCGATTACGTATCAAGGGAATCGAAGAAGAGGTTTGTACTTTGTCAATTATATGGGAAGCATATACAATTCAATTATTCACGAATGATGATTTTTAATTAATTTATAGGAATGTTCGACTGGTTTTGTTGTATGTGACACTCAAAGTCCAGTCAAAACAGCTACTACTTTTGAGGCACAATTAGCCATTTTAGAGCATAAAAATATCATTTGTGCAGGGTACAGTGGTGTTTTACACATACATACTTGTGTTGAAGAAGTATCCATTTCTGTAAGTTTAATTATGTCAATGTTATCGTTTGATAGGATTAAGTCATAATAATAATTAACTCATTTATATTTTTATTAAAGGCTTTATTACATGTACTTGAGAAAAAAACAGGAAAGAGATCAAAGCGAGCACCACAGTTTGTTAAAAAAGGACAAAAGGTGATCGCTCGACTCGAAACTCAAGGACCAATTTGTGTGGAAACATTCGAGGATTACCCACAACTAGGGAGATTTACTCTCCGAGACGAAGGCAAAACAATTGCGATCGGGAAAGTTACTAAGGTTATTGGAAATGTAACTCAATAATTCTTTATATAATAAAATTTGTAACTCAATAAGTAAAGAAATATAATAATTAAAAATCAAATATTAGAAATGAGATTTATTATTCTGGTCCTGCAGTGATGACCTATTTTATAAAGGTTTGATGATCAAGTTAAAATCATATCGATAAATAATGATAATAATAATAATAAAAAAAAATTTAACTTACATCATCTATCTTAAGTATCATCTTTACAAGTTGAGTTGCCAACAAGAATTGTTGTCTTTTTGAAATAAGTGGGTCGTAAACATATTTAACCTTCATATCTAAAAATATAATAATAAATTGGTTTAGTAAATAAGAATATCATTTAAATTTTTTTTTTTTGCCTAATAAAAAAAAAAAAATTTATTTACCATTCGATCCAGTACTCATACAATCAATTCCTAATTGACTATTATTTTCAATTACTTGACGTGATTTAATATCAGCCAAAGTTTCTATCGGCGATAGACCGGAATTTTCGGCAAGAGCTGAAGGAATAGCATCTAAAGCGTTAGCAAATGCGCGAACAGCATGCTGTTCAATCGACGATATCTTTTAAAATAATAAAATTATATTAGCTTAAAAATAAAATTATTCATCGTTCAAGATTTATTGTGTATATGATTTACCTGATCAGCAGCTTTAGAGACTGCGAGTGAACAACTAATTTCAGCAGCACCACCACCGTATACAACGCGGTTATCACGAACCAGGTTACGCACGACGCACAAAGCATCATGAATAGATCTTTTAGCTTCATCAATTATCTAAATAAAAAAAGGCTTATCAAATACATGATATATATTTTTTTTTTTAAAAAAAAAAAATGATAAATAGCCCGTACCATTTTGTTACTACCACGAACAAATACAGTAACAGCGCGAGAATTTGAGCATTCTTCGATAACAAGCATACGATCCTTTGTAGTACCAAAGGAAATCTCACGAACAAGTCCGGCTTTACCAAGTTTTTCGGGCGTGAGATCCTCGAAACGAGGAACGATACGACCATTTGTAGCGATAGCAATAAGCTAAATAAAATAAATAGATTTCAATAGATTTCATCATTGAAAAAGTTAAAATTACTAATAATACTGACGTACCTCTATCTCGGGACCACCAACCCATCGAACGGCCGGTAAATCATTTTGCATTAATAAATGATTGGCTTCATCATCAAAACCCCATTGACAAATAACCAGATTAGCACCGGAATCTTTAACACGTTTAATCATTTCTTCAAATTTTTCCCTCTCATAAGTTTGTAATTTTTTATATTCCTCAACAGAAGTGATGTCTAATTTATGTTTAGTCTTTGGCTTAGGAGGTTCAAATGGACACGTTAATATGGCAAGTTTAGCATCGCGTATTTCACGTGGCATTTGAAGATGTGACATGTCCTTATCAACTACTACTCCCTGGACTAAAATGGTGTCTCCCAGTGAACCTCCTACTTTACCATCTACTTTAATCAATTCAAAATCAACATCTTTACGTTCTAAATCTGCTACTGATAAAACTGCGTCAACCGCAATTTTAGCGAATTGTTCATGATTTTTCGAAACTCTGTTTTTTTTTTTTTTTAAAAAAAAAAAGATAAAAAAAATTATTAACACATTAAATAATTGTAACTACACAACCCTTGTTCGTTTAACTCACTTACATTTTACTTCCTAAACATGTCATTGCAGTATTAAATAAATTCTCAGTATTATCTTTAGTAAATTCTACTACATCAGAAATTGTATCTAAATGTTTTACGGCAACTCTACAGGCTGTCTCAAATCCATCTGCTATACGAATAGGATGAATACCTCTTTCCAAGAGATTTTCGGATTGTTCAAGAAGAGCACCAGCGAGAACTTTTTTTTTTTTTTTAAAAAAAAAAATTGATTTTCAGATCATATATTTAAATTTGAATAGGAATGACATCAAACGTAATCAAACGTACCAACAACACCAGTTGTTCCGTCACCAATTTCATCATCTTGAGATTTAGATAATTGTACTAATAATTTCGCGATTTGATGCTCAACTTCCATTTGAGTCAAGATTGTTGCACCGTCGTTTGTAACAGTGATATCTCCATCGGGTGAAATAAGGATCTTATCAAGACCTTTTTAGTTGTTGGTAGATTTATAAAAATATTCAAAAAAAAAAAAATTTTTGAAATTGAAAATTGAAATATTATAATTATAAATATTTTGGATATTAATTTAAGTATTCTAAAAAAAAAAATTTCGCATAAACTGATCTAACTAAATAATGTCAAATAAATCAAAAAAAAACAAAAAACAAAAAGTAACACTTTATATCTTATCGAAGGATAACACGTACCTCTAGGACCCAGAGAAGTCTTGATAATATTAGCAACGGTTTTTGCGGCTAAAATATGTGACTATCATAATAAATCAAAAGGTTTTTATAAATCGAATTATCTTAAAATAGCCGTAATATTTTATATAGTAAAGAAATATAAATACCTTTATAGCTTCAATACCACTAAGTCTGCTTTTCTTTTGTTGTTCTCTGACAATGATAAAAGGACGTCCATACTCGTCTGTTGCATAAACAGCGCTCATATTATCCTTTCCAGACATTTTTAAGATCTAAGTCTTTATTTCTCTTTAAACTACAGAAAATTGATTTATCTCAGAGTTCGAAGAAATTTAAAATCTCGATAATTTTTTTTTATAGGTTTGCATCACAATTTTCCGCTAATCAGGTTGTAAATTTTATTATATCATGTGATATGAAAATAAATAAACAATATATTTTTAAATAAATTAAAGACAATCTCTATAAATACATAAACATATACTAAATAAATTACAAATAAATTAAAAAATTCGAATTATAATTAAATGACGGCGTATAATTCTCTCTTCTTTTGCCCATTTTCATTATTTTCTTTTGTCCTACTATTCTCTTCCTCATACTTAATTTCTTCAAAATCACCACTAAATCTCTGTGTGGTAGTTCGAAGTCGATTTGCTGCTTGAACCGCATCAACCGCTTTTCGGAATGTTTTACGTGCGTTAAAGTTCTCCATGAAATCTTCTAATAAATCTACATCCTTGGCCACATTTCCGGTAATCCATTTATGTTTTAGAGCTTCTTCGGCTGTTAGCCGTTTTGATGGATCTAAACAAAGAAGTGCAAGGATGAAATCTTTGGCTAAAATAAAATAAAATAAAATAAATATTAATAAGGGGTTTAATATGCATCTACTAACTTAATATATATATATATATCTAACCATCTTCTGACACGTTTCTCCAGAATCGAACTTCGAATTTGACACGAGCATTAGATACTTCCTCAAAGAAAGCAACGCTATCTCTTGCTTGAAACGGATGATAACCACAAAGTCTATTGAATTTAATACAAGGATTAGGGTCATGTATGTTTGTTAAAAAAGGAAATTATAATTTCTTACAGATAGTATGTAATGACTCTGTTCAGAAAGAGATTAAAATTAGATATATATTTAATTTGCAAACTTGAAACTAACATAGAAAATACTTTTTTTTTTGTTACCCAATACTCCATAAATCAACGGATTTCGAATATGGCATACGTTTTAAAATTTCAGGAGCTATGATGAAAAAATTTGTGCTGAATTTAATAAAATACTTAAATTTATATATATTAATATAATTGAATATACCCGCATAAAGTTGAGTCCCGCAGTGTGTCATCATTATATCATCACTATCTGATATAACTTTAGAGATACTATCAATTAAAGATAAATAAATATTCATTCGAGATGATTATAATCTTAATAAAGTCAGTATAGTATGAAATACCCAAAATCTGCAAGTACAAGCTCTGAATCTTCATTTTTATTTCTGTAAATCAGATTTTCCGGTTTCAGATCTACAATTTCAAAGAATGTAAATAAAAATACAATGCGTTCAAAAAATATTTGAGAATGATCATTGGTTTACCTCGATGTACAATATTATTCTCATGTAGATATTTAACCGCGATGAGTACAGTCTTAATAACCTCAACAGCATCACATTCAGTAAATTTCCCACGTGCCATTAACCTGTCAAACAATTCTCCTCCTGTCGCACTTTCAAATTATATTAATTATATTTCATTAAGGACAAAAAAAAAAAAAAATTTCAAGATAAATTAAATACTAAAAGAAGGATACAGTTCAAAAACCAAATAATATTTATCTCTTGATTCAAACCAATCAAAAAATTTTACTACATTACGATGATCTAATCGTGATAATATCTCCATTTCTTGTTTTACCATTGATTCTTGATGCTTAACCTTTTTTTTATCTATCACTTTAATGGCTACTTTGTGTCCTGTTGTAATTTTGGTTGCTTCTTTAACAGATCCGTATGTACCAGAACCTATTCAACGTTGTAATAAGAATTACGTGTAATTTTCGTGATTGAATCATAATAAATATCGGTGAGAATCAAACAATAATTAGCGTATATATTTACCTAGCGTCTTTCCTATCCTATAATATTTCTAAAAAAAAAAATGAGATAGGTAGAAAGAAAATTTTTGATTAATATATGGTATTCTGAAGAATTTCAAAAGCACCAAAAAATTTTTCATTTCTAACTTTTTTCTCATGAGTCTCTGGCTGCGGACTTCTATTTAATGCTTGGTCAATTAAGTCAACTATGCCCATTTTTCCAACTTTTTCTTAGAGAAATAAATTTGGCAAAAAGAGAGAAAGTTTGCCTGGTTTTTAAAAGTACGATTAAGACGACAGAATTCTGCTGTAGGCGAATTCGTTGCTCGAAGCTTTAATTACAAACGCCAAATACTTTGGAAATAAATTTATCGTGACAATGGGACAAATTTAAAGAAAATATATCAACACCCAAGGCTGAGTGTAATATATATATACCAGGATTAGATTAATCTGAATCACATGATCTTGTACTCTATACAAAATTAGTTATTTATCATTAAAGGATACTAATAAGTAAGTAAAAAGAATAAATACCTGACTGGTGTAACCTTCCCTCCGCCACCTTATTATTTAATTTAATTAATATGCATGTTTATTATTACTTTATTTCAAAACATTATATAAAATTTTGAAATTCATAAAATTCCTATATATTGTAACAATGATGAACAGACAATGGAGAGAATAATTCGTAAAAAGTTGATTGTTCAGATCTTAAACTAGTCATACTGAATAAAGCTAGATCCAAGCAAGCCACTAAATAGAAAACAAGACATTCTCCCCAAGTTCATTCGGATAATTTCTTGAATGTGGTCATTTAAATAGAACATGACTAGTGATCAGTAAATACGAGATGGCCGTTCACACTCTTTATTTGAGAGTTATCTTAAATGAGGACACTAAGCGTTTCCAGTTCTCCATTTACTGTCTTGGCAGTTAATCAATTGACTAATTTCTACGATTTACTGGTACTAATTCACTCAAGATAATTTCTTATATAATGTAACAGTACTTTAGAATATAATTTCTTCACAGGAAACTCATACTGAATAACAAAAAAAAAAAACCATTATAGAGCCGCAAGCAAATGTCCTTAAATTAATATAATTATTTTGAGATCAAGCTTTCTTTAGAATTGTTGAAGGATAAGTAGAAAAGGAAAAAAAAATCACGTTGACTCTGAAATCTCCAAGTAAAAGAAGTAAAAACAAACAAAAAAAAAACTTTCGTATTTATTCAGAAATTCCTAGGTCAAAAAATTTTTGAAAATAAAGAAAATCGGAAAAACGCGTTTTTATAATCATTTGAGTTACGCGTGACGGAATAACGCGAGGGATAACAATATGGTAACCAGGGACGATGATCTCCGGCGGCGAACGTTTATTTTAAAATCTATCCTGCTTTCTGCGGCTTATTTTCATCATTCTGCGGATATTTTATTACATTAATTATAATTTCTGCTCATTTCAGCGAAAACAAAAATAAATTTTTATTAATTTTATTATCCCAAAAAAAATTTAATTGCCATTAACGTTAAAATACATCATATATAATTTTTTTTCAAAGAATCTTCTAAAAGATTTGGCAAGAAACTTCTTTCTACACTACAACTAGATACAGATAACCAAATATAATTAAGTGCAATTTTTAAAAGAATTGGTAATTTATCTTCAAGATTTATCCATTATTTTTTTTAAATCAATCTCAACTAAATTTTCTAATTGCAATTCACAATAATTGCCCATTCACAAAGCAATTCATCAGAAGGATTTGCTAATTCTCTAATAACACACTATAACAATGCAAATTTTTTCTTTCCAAAATACCAAGTAATATATATTTATGATCAAAAATTTGAGCAGCTTATAAAAGTGGACATGCAGGATATAAAGAAATATGGCTTTTTATACCCTTCTGCTATTGCAGTCAGGGATTACCAAAAATGGACATCGATTCTAGAATGATCTGCGGTAAATCCTTAGATTTTGATTGGCCTATATCTATTCTCTTTGACTGAACTCCTCTGCATATTTTTCAAATTAGTTAGTAATTATAGTAGACTGGGCTTGAAATCTTGTGAGATAAAGGAGTCACAAGTTTAGAGACATGCTAGTTGCAACGAAGCAGCTAAGCAACTTATACTTTATCAAGATTTTATACCTGAACTCGCAAACCTTTATTCTTCTTTAAACTCCTATTCGATTTGTGAAAAATATTATAATCAAATTATAGCTACTAAACACTTTTATCAACAGCTTTAGATGATCCTACGCTTGCTCATGTAAACAAAAAAATTCAAAGTGATACTAATTATGATAATAATCCTGTCTCTACTTTAAATCCTAGTATTCATGAAGAGATAATCCCAATAATAAGTCATACCTATCAATAGAGTTTAAAAGTACTGAGAGATTATTTGAAGAAAGTTGAATGAATCACAATGTTGTAAAATTACAGCAGCAAATAGAAGACCAAGAACGCAAAATATCAGAATTGAAGAGTGATTATACGAATATGTCGAAGAGTTAACTCAAATAAGAGATCTATATAAAAAATAATGCAAAGAGAATGAGAAGCTTATTAAGCAATAAAAATCTCAGTATTGTGATTAGCATAAATGCATACAAGCAGTTATTAACATCACATTAATTGAACGAGAATCTTTATATGAGGATATCGAATTTCTGATTAAAGATAATAATAAGATTTTCTTAAAAAATCTATTGAGTTATACTTCGCAGATATAGCTAAGCAAATGTAATCAAGTTATTGTAAAGTTTATTGAAACATTAACCCAAAATAATCTTAATACAGATTTCTTGAATACTGAGAAAGTTTACAAAAAAGTGATAACTATTGATTTAATATACAGGTCTAGGCATAGAAAATACGTATCAGAAATGAATTTTGTGAGATCAGCTATTAAGTATTCTATTGCGTGATCAAAAATAATGATTAATGTTAACAGTCATATTACATGCTTAGAAAGTTATTCTCATTTTCAAAGCTGGCTAAATAAACTATCAGAAAAAGAAGAACCCCTACCTGAAGGACTTTTATTTATAGCTTTTGATAATAAATAGAGGAGATAACGAAATTATCTTGATCAAAAAATTAACATAGTGATATTTCATATCATTACCAGTTTTATTTCCTTTAATATAGGGTCTCAAAATCGTATTCAATATATTAATTTACCTTGGATATCTAATTCTCTTAGTAGGTTACAGTATGAAAATCTTTTCAAAATTCCATCAGAAATGCAAGAAGTAATAAATCAAGAATTACATATTTATCTTACTAAAATTCTTGAATTGCTGTATAAAGAAAAATTGTCTATGACTAATATTATTGATTCTCTTATAGATAATTTAGGATTGAACAATCACTGCAAAAAATAATGCCTTAGCTGTAAAGAGTGAAATATCAATAATCAAAAGCAAGTTTGTCCTAAGTGTAGAAATCGTCTCCCTACGTTGACAGAATTACTGAAAGAACGTGTTTTTGAGCTAGATAAAGGCAATCTAGAACAATCAATTACCTATAAACTATATTGTGTTGAAAGAGAAACTAAAATACTTACTGTTTTAAAAATTAGTATTACTCAAAAATCTTCTGCAGATCAAGGAGTTAATATTCTAGAAATCTTTGTTCCTGATCCCTTAATGTTAATCCTAATTCAATAGCAAATATTGAAAAAATTCTTTCTCACATTAAGAAGATTGCAGGAATTAAAAATGGAACTCGTAGATGGATGACTGTTACATGTGATAGAGTTCTATATCATCATATTATTAAAATAAAAGATAGATATCTTTGGCTAATTCTAATTTTAGAACAATTGCATGAAGAGATAAATATGCTTCAGACATTTATGAAATTAAATTGGTAAGTTTTGCATTATGTTTATTGTTTAAACAATATATTTAAATAACTTTTTTTGATCATTTAAAGGAACATTGATATCAAATAATTTGCGATATTCTAAGAGTATAAAACTGAGAATCAACTTGCCTATTTCAAGAAATGCTATGATTATCATAAGTCTTAAGATTCAATTTATAACATATATTGTCAGGTAATAGCTATGAAACTTATGTGACTATATGTCAAAAACTATTATAATCTATCGGTAGAGAGATACTTGACTTAGGTAAAAAAGCAAAAAGATCCACTATATCAAATGAAATTTGAGCAGATATAATTTTTATATTTTGTTAAAACATTTAATAGACTTATGTTAATTATTAAAATTTTATTAAACAAATACACTACCTGAAAATATGTTTGCGTAGTTTTGAAAAAATAGTAAATAAATTTGTGCAGTTTTGAAAAAATAGTTTATTATCGTTTTTTTTAATAAAATATTAATATCTAGTTAGCCAATCATTATTGGCAATACATGTTTCTATTCTTTGAGGCATACTATCAATTAATTTTAGGTAAGTTTTTTGCAGAATTTTTTTTCATTCTTCTTTTAGTTGCACTTCTAAATCTGCAAGTTTTTTAGGCAGATTTGAACAGTTACATAACAAACGTCCAAGATGATCCTAAAGATGCTCAATGGAATTCAAATACAAAGATTGAGCAGGCCAGTTAATTAACATTTTAATTTTTTTTTTAGCAACCCATGCTTTAATATCATTAGCTATGTGAATGGATGCATTATCGTATTAAAATTTGTAAGATCAGTTACGAAACTTTGAATCAATAAATGGCAACAGGTTATTATTTAAGATTTTTATAATTATGCCGATTGATTATTCCTTCTATTTCACTAAAGGACCCAATTCTTTGCCTGAAAAACATCCCCAAACTATGACTCTGCCACCACCATGTTTAATAGATGGATTCAGGTTTTCAATATTAAAATGAGTGCCTGGTTTATGCCAAACTCGAGAAGGACCATCATTACGAAAAAGAGTAAACTTTGATTCATTGCTCCATATGACATTTCTCCATTGTTGTACTATCTAATTTTGTCTTTTTAAGCATCATTCTAGCCGTTTTTGGCGTTAATTTTTATTTAAAAATGGTTTTTTGCAGCTTAATAAGAATTGTATCCAATTTGATGCAAATTCTTCTGAATTGTTTTGGTATAAATATCTTGACCAGTTGTTACTGAAAATTTTTTTTGTATTATATCAGCTGAAGCTTTATTATTTTTTTTAACAATTTTTTTTAAAATTTTGTAATCTTTATCATCAAATAAC